CGAGAGGGTCCTAGATTACCGTGAAGTATGCAGAAATACGGTTTCCTTGACCATAGCCATACCAAAACGTCGTGTCAATATTGAAACCATTGGGAGTAGTATAAACTTGTCTTCTTTTCAGATTATTGAAGTAGGGATTGTATCTTAGCAAGGGCGAAGATTTATGTCTGTGTATTAAGTCTTGAATCCATCGTTCTTGTAGAACACCGCGAGATTGCTCGATGTCCCCTTTRTGAATAAACAATGTAAATAGATAAGTAAACAAATTCATCGATAAACAAACAAATAAATGAATGAATACTATAGAGTTTCTACCCCTAAAGCGTGAAAACGTTCTAACCAAATGTAGTAACTATTGCTATATAGTGTAGATTAAAGTCATTTAAAACCGTGAAACAAAACTCGAATAATAATGATACATTTTGAAACTACGCTTATTATTAGAGAGTWATTCTAACACATTTTGCAGTTTGATGACAATTGAAAGGCTTTTTTTAAGTTTAAAAACTTCAAAAAATCAGCTGTCTGATATATTGATATATTTGTTTAATGGTACGATTGTCGCGTGAGACTTGTAGTATACAACGTCTCAAATGAGCTCCAAATCGTGCCAATTTTAAAAATTTTAAAAATGTCTTTATGACTTCCTACAACAGTCGTACGCAGTCTACTAAAATCAGTCGCACAGATGGCTGTAGATTAATAAAAATGATTAAAATTAGAACATACCATATCCAAACACATTAATGTTGCACAGGCCGAACATGACCGATCTTTCTACAACGTTAACCATCACATGTCGACTACGAATTGGACKAGAGCAGKCATACATCATGCCAATTTTGGCTGCAAACCTCGTRGATGGMAMGCACTTTACRTCGTATTCAGAGCTGATTGGTGACTGGATTATGACGCTAACAGAGGAATAGCTGAGATTGCTTTTGATGGTAAGTGAAACGCTGTGAACGTACGTATTCTTGTTTAAAGTAACCTGGAATGACCGCCGGTCTGCCTGGAAATGAGTAATGCATACAATTTGCATGACATTGAAGGCCAGCTTATACGGCGAATTTCACATGTGCCTAATCAATTCACGATTTTGAGGTGCGGCGTCTAAAATCAACTAATTCGGTGATTTTTAAGGAAACATGACTTCGGTCGAATATATGACTGAAACAGATCGTCAATGGTACGGCAGTTGATTTACACGTCGCATGTCACATGCGCCAAATGTTGATTAGCATTAACTAAGGGTTATCCACCATTCTCGTAAACGGACTTGTGAACACCTTAAATTCGACGACTGAAATCAAATGCCGTATTTGATTATCTTAGTCGACTAAAATGGGATTTTTTATCGGCACATGTGAAGTTCGGCGTTTATCCCAGGCCTGAGATTCCTTATCTACACATTGCGCATGTCCTCTAGAATTAATACGCTGACTTACATCCACGAATAAACACGTGTTGATGTCATTGTCGTTGGCGTACGCTGGCTGGCTGGATTTAATGACAGTTGAAAATCCTGTGATGTTTACAACTGAGACATGCTCTGTGAAAACAAAATTAATTTTCAGTTGAAATTCTGTTCACATCGCACATGAGGTACAGTTACAGGTGAAAAGATGTTGAAATGCACAGGGCAATAGTTTTCTTCACAGGTTTCTATCATTGCACGCTCAACGGTCGTCTCCCTTCGATGTAAAGGCAAGGCTACCTTTCAAGATGGCACAGTGAACCATGAAGAATACTATTTCTAAATTGAGCCAATTTGGTTATGTGGCATTTGTACGAAAGCGTAACTTAAATACAACTGCCAGAAAGACTTTCGCTTGTCAAGGCATTCTGGTATCGTTATAGCTAGAGAAACATCTAGAGAGAAAGTGATGTTCACAAATGTGTTATTTTGTTTTGTTCCATTCATATAAGAAGAGCAAATGTTTGTTGTCCTATGTTATTTATGTCATTTCAGACTATTGTAGGACTTAAGTTTAATCACGAATATGTTTTTTTTGACCAAAAACTATAAATCCGTTACCTGAAGGAGGTCCGCAATTGACTTCGTAATCTTCACGAACGCTTTCCACTTTATACTTGAATTGACACTCTAATAAAGACTGCTGACCTTTATAGTTAAGGCCGCATACGACATTAGATACGAGCGTTGTCTTGCTGTTTGATTTGTACATTTTTTCATAGATTATATATCCCTGACCAGGAAGACCAAGCATTTTACAAAAAATAATTGGGACACTTAAATCTGTGGTGTAACCGATGCGACCCCACTGTCCGTCAATCTTTATCTCAGCTCTGCCTTGATTCCAAGCACTTCCACCAACAAGACGAACTTAATTACGGAATTAAAAAATGATCATGATGAGTTACTAATTAAAGGACGATGGCAAACATATCTGTCTTATCTCACCTTGAACTGCACTACAGATAACTCCAGCATCGTTGTCATGACTACATCCTCCATGGCTTCCCAATGCATCATGGTCACATGAGAGCAAATCTGTCTCGTTTCCATGGCAATTCATATTGCTCAGTAAAATCGGACCAGACYCCTTACCAAATGCAAGGTTTTTGACCGCGTATCCCTCGTCACCAAGTCCCAAAGAGCGACAAAGTACACGWGCATCCTTGTTCTCCCAWCCTCTATAGCAAAGTGTGCCATTTATACCACCAATATTGATAAGAACAAGACCCTGGTTTGGAGTGTGACCATTACCACCAAGCTTGAATTTTGCTGGAAAAGAAATTTTATGAATACTGGGTGTTGAAACATTATGCGAGAGTTTACAAGGAACACGTTACTCGACGGAATTGAAGACAATTCGCTTTCCATTTCCATTATTTTGCCAACTGTAATTTTCAAATTTCTCATTGCAAGACAACGTCAAAAAAATAATCACGTCTATGAAAGCATTGTGATCAATTTATTGTGATGGATTGGCGCCTAAAGAATAGCATTACTTGCCTTCTGTTTTTTCACAAAAAACTCCAGCTTCTTCTTGMGACGTACAGCTCTTGGAGCCTAACCCGTCGTGTTTACATTGCAGGAGAGAACTTTCGTTGCCAAAACACTCRACGTTATCCAGCACAATGCGACCATTTCCTGGTCCAAACATAGACCCTTTGGTAGCCATGTATGACTTAGGATAACCAAGTGATCGACAAACGACATGCGCGTTTTTAATTGACCATTTATTGTGGCATATTGTAYTCCAGTGGCCACCAAGATTTATTTCAACCCTCCCGGAACTTGCCGAGSSTCCMCCAGATAGTCGTAAAGGCACTGCAGAGAARATGTTAGAAATTTCCACATTTAAATATMCGACTTCCAATTCGCAAAACAGTTTTGAATATTCAGGAGCTCGAGCACGTCTAGACTTTTTCCTGACTGTACTGAAGAAGACGTAAAATAGTGGGGAACAAGGTAGAGGGTCCCAGATGTGGTTGAACACCCCTGTACCACAAGCTAGATTCGCCAAAAATGTTTATTAAGGGACTGTGCAATAATTACCAGGAAGTGGGGGGGTGGGGAGGGTAAAACCAGAGGGGGGCATTACATAAAATGACGTTATTTCTAGTATAGCAGAGGGGGGTAAGGGCTATTTTCTTATGCTTCGGTGTAGGGTTCTAATTTTCTGCTTGAGAAATCTGGTTTTMTGCCCATCCCTTYCTGKTTATTATTGCACAGTCCCTAAAATCTGTTAAATTTCGATGCCTTGCCTGTGGAGTTTCGTTTTCCGCAAATCACGCCAACTTGCTTCAAAATGCACGAGGACTGRTGAAACTTYAATTCATTAAAATCGCACTCTGCTATGCGAGACTCGTTGCCTTGGCAATGAAGATCTTTTAAAAGAAAGAACATTCCATCATGATCATTGAACATAGCGTAGCTAACAGCAAACATGGCGTCGGGATAACCAAGACTTCTACACACAACCCGTGCGTCTTTGATAGTCCATTTTTCATCACATATAATCGTCCATTCTTTGCGCATTGGACCGTGCATCTTTCCAAASGCCACAAGGACTGTTCCTTCATTTGGGGATCGCCCACCAGCGAGTCGAAACTTAACTTGAAAAGATAAAACTTCAAGTCAGGTGATTGGATACTTATTTTTTATATGTAAAAAGTTAAATTAATGTCCTGACTCATCCGCCATCTTGGATTGGTAACCATGAAGGTTATGACGGCTATAATGCGACGCCATTTTATGCAGCAAAGGATGATGGGAATGGTAGTCCTAGTACTTGTGTATGTCCGCTAAAACAGTCCTTCTTAGCAGTTWTTGCTCTAATCGAAAATACAAGTATTTATGYCGTTTCTAAAATAATGTACAAACGGCTTTTAAGGAGATATTTTAGGGATTTGAAAAGTACGAGGACTACAACTACCATCATGCTTTGCTGCACAAAATGGCGTCGCTGCTCACTGCTTATTTGAAGCTTTTGAAGCCTGATAGACACGATGACAAATGAGATCAGCGACATTTGAAAATTTCAAAAATACCGGCACTCTGTATTTAATACCTGATAATTTGCCACAAACTACTCCAGCAGTATCACAAAAAATAGTAGATACGTTCTTAAATGGGCAGTCAAACAAAGACGATTCGTTTCCAATRCAATGAACATTGGTCATCAATGATTTTGGAAGTGGGAATCTGCGTACAAAACCAAAGAAGGTTTCCTTGACAGCATGGGTCGCCACAGGAAGCCCAAGCATGTTGCATACAACTTTAGCGTCGTTGATATCCCAGTCATTGTCGCAAACCATGCCTCGTTGACCATCGATGACCACTTCAAGACGACCTTGATTTGATGTTAAGCCGTCGACCAAAAATACCTTATCTACCCAGATAAAAAAAATAAGTTACTGACTCAACAATTGGGTATTTGTTTAGTATATGAGGTTGTAGTTTCATAATTATTGAAAAAACTCTCGCGTCTGCTCTTTGATAAAAGGCTGAAAGGGTATATAACGCTCAGCCAAAAAGGAGTCGTGGGGCAAGAGAAAAAAGACAAACTTAAACTTTGTGAGACTGCAAAATAAATACAACAGCTAAAGCTATCATGACGAATGGACTTTCAGTAAAAATCTGAAAGACCGTTTATTATTATTTTTGTATAAGGAATTCTGGACTTTAAAGTGTTGTCTCCGATGTTATGTTCATTGGTAATGTATCCCAAATCTGAGCTAGATATCTCGAGAGATTTCGAACTCTTAGGATAATTGCTGAACATAATGTTCAAYGTCCATCGTTAGCATCCAAGAACCTCGTTTTTTCAAGAGGTCTGCTGATATTAGCTCGTAAATTTTACRATATTTGATAATGAGATTGGAAATCTTTTYAGTCCTCGTCTGTGCATAAACGACATGACCATATGCACCYTTTKTATTTACATTACAATTCTGCAATTATAMGTAGAAACCTCCACTAATGAACTTTAATTTCAGAAGAAAATGCCGCTTAATTGTATTATATGGTCTTTGATTTTCCTGCATTTTGATTGGCTGGATTGGCTCTGATTGGCATGTGTCAGATAGAGCCGTCTAGGACCATACCTATGGCAACGTTTTATCTCGAATACGTATGTTTCGCCTAATTAAGGATATTCAACTTTTCAAATCAAAACTCATAAATTTTTCACAGACTTGACTTCTGCTATAGCTTAAAGCAWTTTTTACAAGAATTAACTTTATAAAACAACGGCTTCTCTCTAAGTGGTTTGTGATTTTTCCGGTTGCGATAAARTGAAATTCTTTAGKGTTTTAATGRTTCAATTCCACACTAAAATATTGCAGGTTTTTGACACTATATTACTTAGTTGAAAACAAAAGATCAAATATAAATTGATTATACATGTATATTCCGGTAAAAGTATAACAAAATCAATATAATAARTTGAGCTAGGTAATCACTACTAACTATTGAGTATTTAGATCTGATTGGTCAAAGTAATTGGTCTAATTTGTATATTTCATCGGTAAACGCACGAATGCGAAAATGCTATAAAATAAAAGCAATAAACAACATATTTTCGAGTGTTCCTGGTGAAATAAACCACTTGGGATWTTGGGAAAACACTCAAAAGGCAAATCCCTCGCCTCCGGCTCGAGATTTTTTCCGCCTTTTTCGCGTTCTCTGAACATCCGGCTTGGTTTATTTCAAGAGGAACGCACGAAAATGTGTTGCTTTTATTGCTTAAGTTTTGCATGACACCTTTTGACTTAAAATTGCAAATTGTACTTTCTGCGTATGATATATTAACAGTCTTGGAGACAATAGACAGGGATGGTTGTGTTGTTGTCTACAATTGTCTATRTGCTTAGGCGAGCAKGACAAATTTATCCGACGACTGATTAATGTCAAATAGGACTGAGTAACACTTTTCTCTGTGATCGGGATTAAAAAACTAGAAACGAAAAATCTTACTCTAAGTTCTTTTTGTATGGATATACCTTACTTCATATTCTAATAAATAATAARTCCAAAGATTACCTGCATCACAAGTCCGTATTTGAAGGATCTGGAMAAATRTTATAGACAATATTGCGGCCTTGCAGACAATCCACCAATYCACCATAACTGCAGTTCATAGAGACTGTAGCKACTTGTATTCGTACGATTATCTGTTAACASCAAGAGGTATGTTTGTTAATTTGTTGGTTTTGTTATTTGGGACGCTGTTCCAATCCAGTAATGTCCATGTACGTACTCTGGCTTCCGATTCTTCCGATTCACGATTACTGCGCGCGCAGTGGCAATCAACGGTAGCTATCACTGTTGTCACCAAACTTCCTCCACTTTCAAGTTGTTTTTACCGTAAATTATTGTTTATAAAGCACATGAAATGGSTCCTTCATGGTTCCCTGCGCCATCTTGAAAGGTAGCCGTTTGCATCGAAGTGAGACGAGTATTYAGTGTGCAATTATAGGAACCGTCATTCACACCTACAGGCAAATAGTCACTKGTGTCTATATATCATTGCATGCTCACTGGTCGTCTCGCTTTGGATGCAACGCCATGGTTACCTTTTAAGATGGCGCAGGGAACCGTGAAAAAGACTATTGAAACAAAGTGATCAATKTCTGTTAACTCAAGAAACTGTACTTTGAATTACCTAGAGTTTTGATCTACACGGAAAAACACCATTCCTAGAGCTATTATGTCTGAAGTAATAATAGGATAATAGGGCATTTTCACCGAATTACGACATGATATATAATACTTTATGTATTTTCATTATCATTAAGATTTTTTAATTCTTTTGAGGATTAGCAAAATAATGTCGGCATTCTGTTTTCGTCTACATAGGTCGTATAGTTGATTACAAATGTTAATCAAATAAMGCACTGACATTTTCTCTACCGAARGCGTCACGTAGAATGCAAACACTACCTACAGGTGCATGTAAACCTATCCGTTATGTTCGAAAACAAAAGAGATTGCTGTACTACGAAGGGGAACCCTGTCAGCCCTACATGATGCATGTAAACAGCTCTTTAATTTAAGAGGACATCAAATATTTCTGGTAGTCGAGTACATGATAACAAAGTGCAAACCTCCTTTGAAATACAAATAGATAACAACTTGAATTTTACAAAAGTATATAACTCCGGATAACTAACAAGACTTTAGTCACAGGTTGTTGATTTWCGTCAATTTCGTAGAAAAAGCAATAGCATTTTTTTAAGGATATAATTTATAATGAAATTTGTCATGGAGTATGAGTTCAAAATGCAATGAAAATGAAAATCCTTAACGTACGTGTTTTTGAAAGATGTTATAAAGGATAACAGACAATTAAGCGCGCAAGGCTTCGCGTAATAGCTCATTTAATATATATACAACATTTTTATCGAATCAAGCCGTACACGAAGACACATTGACTCGTATTTACACTGTAAACGTTTTTTAGATCAAAACAAATTTGTTCTTATAAATGAGAAAAAAGAAATGAAGGAAAAGCTTTGTGAAAGCTCTTGAAGGATGAAAACTCAATATTTTTTCTGTGTAAACAAACACTTTTTAATGTATGTTGTATACTGAAGAAGTTCAGATAATTATAATATACAAGGAGAGAATTGCATTTCATTGTATTGTAGAATATAGTAATATAATTCAGTTTGGTTTCTGAAAACCCTCAAAATGTCTTKCATGTATTTGCGAACAATGTCACATTTTTCCTTTCTCGCAGGTTGAAGCAAAAGGAAAAACAATTAAAAATATATAATAGAAATATATAATTATAATCGAATAGAACAAACGAAATGGTTTTAGCGTTGAATGCAGTAGAGATTGCYAATGAAGTGAGCTTTTTGGGGGTTGTCTTTTGTTGCCCGTTTTACCTTAAGAATATGTAATTTTAAGGGCAATTTTMACCACAACAAGAGATAATATCACTAACCTAAAGTTGCAATTTAGAGTCTTGTCAGCTAGAGTTRCRAGAGCTTGAAGAAAACAGTCGTATATGCAGGGAGGATATAACTGGTACACTTGGTATACTTATAAAATTAAAACATTGAGGATTTCTATATGACCACAAGACGAGTTTAAATTAATTTACCATTACATAAATAATTAATGCTAGCAGCTGGAGAAACATAGCTTTCTAACTGGAAAATCCCCAATATTTGCCACCTTTAAAGGGAAAAGCGAAGAAAAAAAATTGAGATAGTATATTACAAAGTAGACACCTTTTYTCAGCCATACAAAACATTCGCAAGTTTCAAGAAAAAAAAGGAAAATGACACTTGGGCACATTTCTATTCAAAATAYTATAGCAAATTAGCAAAATATGAACTCAAATAAGTATTGCTGCTCTTTCCTAMAGCAAATTCTCTTGAGTTCAATCAGTGACGTGTGTAAACAAAGCTGGGAATAGTGACGAACGACTTAACGCCTCTAAACTTCGTACTTAGGAGGGAATGCGAGGAGTACTTAAAGAGTATTCTCTCCTTGTTGAAATACCGGAAAAACGACGGCGTCAGATGAAAAGAATATTGTCATTATTAGTACTTGAGTAAATGATTAAATATGCCAAGATATTTCGACTAATGTTTGARTCACGCAGCGCAAGTTTGTTTTATTACTAAGATGTTCGTTTATAGAAATCATTTCAATTTAGTGAGGTTATGAACATATGAAACTAGATGTGGTCTTAGAAGTTTCTCCCTGGTTAGTTTGAAACCGTGCACTGAGTTTAAAGTTATTCCGCTTCTCGCTGAACACACACGTTCCAGGGAATGAAGACTCTTCTTGATTCTAGAAGCAAGATATGATTTATCAGAAATTTACAGCCATTTTGGATAGTTTATAGTAGCAAACGTTTTCCACAATCATATGTTCTTTTTTCGCCGATAAAAAAGCAATCCATCGCTTTTAAAATATATAATATAAATATTTTTTTGAAAGCATGTAATTTTGGTCTATTGTACGCTGACCGTGTTCGAACCTCTGATAAAACGTGGGAGAAAACACGGCTGTTGGCACAATAGAGTTGATCAACRGTCGAATAGAATCAACATTTCTAAAGCTACAGTAAACCAAATAAGAAAATCATGCAACATTGATGGGATAAAGGAAAACCTTTTCAAATCATGAAACAATCCATTTTGACCGAGCGCGATCCAACATGCTTGATGCTTCGACCAACGTTCATTGAAAGTTTAACTTGGCTAAATCAAAAGATCAAAATATTGCGAGTCCCCGCCTAACAAAGTTTGATTGCAGTTTGGTGGTCCGACAATCAGTGGTCTGTGTCTTCCAAAATAAGGGTTTGAATTAGCTGACATGAATGTATACGATTGAATAAAAGATATTACATATTCAGTGAAATCGAGTTATAAAGGAAAGATTCCGTATGCATGCTCCGTTTCTCCACAAAGACTGGAGGCAAAAACCAATATGAAACATTCATTCTCAGCATTTACTATCAATTTTTTTTAACAAAAGAGTTTCTTATCATTGATATCGTAAAGGCGTTGGCTGGTCCGATGTCTCTGGCCTCGCCCTAAGGAAATRTGAATAAAATGACCTCATGGGACTATGATGGATATGATATGGAAATAAAGGAAAGGAATAGTGCTTAATTAGTAGAAGATTATTCCGGGGGAAAGACCCTTGGAAATAAATTCGGAAAATTAATTTTTACGAACTTATTTCCAAGGGTCTTTTTCCCCGGAATAACCTCCTTCTAATTAAGCACTATTCCTTTCCTTTATTTCTATACTACGGTAACAATGTAATGATCGAATGAGATAAAATTGAAAAGTTGCCCATGGTTACTTGAAGAGAAATGAACGCACCTTACTGAGGCTCCATGGTGTGCCACCCCTGTTATCTTTATAAGGGTATTTTCAATTTAAATTCATCCAAATGTTGGAGTTAGACAGCAATTAAGCTCGATCGTGATATTTGATTTTACTAGTTGTAAGTTCTTCAGACCTAAATGCCTTTTCAATAAGGTTTTGTGAAAAATTTGCGTTTGGTAAAATATTGAAGAATCTTGTCGCATCTTTTGCCTCGAATATGGAATTAAATACTTCTGCTTTTTTCCCTTCGGCAGACCAGACAAGATCCCCATCCATGTAAAACGCTATCAAGACTTAACGACAAATTYTACTCGCTTACTGATTGTCAAACTGTCTGAGTAATACAATTGAGCACAATCTTCTCACTTTGGCTGCACGACAAATTTAGTTTCCTCTACTCAGTTRTTCAGTCCTCAATAAAGACTGCCAAAGAAAATTAAAGCATGTCGAAGTT